CTGTGAGCTGTAATGCCATGGCACTCTACCCAGGGGGATAGCTTGAGGCTCTGTCTAAAAAAAAAAAAAAAAACTCTAATACTCAAGTTGCATTGATTTCCGCTATTATGAGATGCAAGATAGAATATATAAGATAGCAAATGTTATTGATATATGTTGAATATTACTATATATATCTGTGTGTGTATATATATATAATATACATACATATGTATATTAATCAAAGACTGCTGAGCAGGCACAAACACAAAATAATTCATGGAAAGCTCTTGCACATCACCAATAGGGTCTTTGCTATGACTATGGCATAGTAAAGTCATGAATTCTATAAATGAGCCCTAAACACATCACAGAAATGGCATTGTATGTTTTTTAAAGGACTCCTCTGTCTTAGCTTTAGGAATTTACAGAACATCAGAGAGCACAATTACTGCCCTAGCTCAACTCAGTGTGATAAAGAATCAACTATGTGGACTTGATAAATCCTTAGATAAGAACTCTGAGAGAGCTCATATACATGATATCTGCTCAAGGAGGGCCTCCACTTTGGCAAACTGGGTAGTAGGGATCAGAATGAGGATGGGGACTAAGAGAACTGTTTTTAAGTTTCACTTGTTGGAAAGAACATTGATTTTACTTCCATTGTTCCATAAATATCCTTGTGTGTGACTAGATCAGCAGATGAATGTTAATTTCTTAAGTGAAGAGTTTTGTGAAGTAGGAAATTACAAAACAAAATACATTGGTTATGAATTTAAAGTGTAGAGTATAAATGTCTTAACACAATAATTGAGTAAATGAGGTGAAGGCTATGTTAACCAGTTTGATGTAAGCATTCCAAACGGTACATGAAATCAGCACATTGTATCCCATAAATGCATTAATGTATACAGTTATGATTTAATAAAAAAATCCATATGTGTACATTTATTTAACAAAATCAGTAACTTCCATCTTGCTATTTTTTTCACAAATTTTTGACAATTGACAGAGAGTAGTTAAAGATCATTAGGCTGTAAAAGCATATCATGGCACCCCTTGCTACCACCTGAGTAATCTACTTGATCCCGTCATGTCTTCTTATTTGCATTCTGATACCTCTTTTTCTTAGAGTTCTGTATCATATCAAAGCTTATTTCTCAGTGCATGGCCTCTAAATTTCCATGACACATTACATATTGGTCTAGGTTGTCTTCCTATAGCAATGGAGAAAATGGCATTGACATCCATTTCTAACAAATATGTTGCACTTTATTTTTTGTTTTTTACAAAAAGTTTTTACTTGCCCATAAATTTTAACATCTTTGGGTTTTTTCTTTCCTCTTGCATTCTATAATGGTCAATAGGGGTGTAGGTTCACTATTGTCTACATTTAAGAACAATGTGCATTTCAGACCACAAACAAATGTAAATAGAAACCTATGTCTGTAAATGAAATACACTCCATATGCAAACTTTAGAACAATAAATAAATGAATAAGAGAATGACAACCAAATGACAACAAATAAAACTCTCCAGTCCAATGTTCCAGAGACTCACACAAACTGCACAATAACCAAATCCTTCAGCAGTAGACATTGAATAGTGTTGAACTGTCCTGCATTTAAATAGCTCTGCTAACTTGGAGGTATCCTTCACTGTTGAGCATTAATTTTTGATAATTATTCTTTTATCCCTCTCTGAGATGTTCTTAGAGTAGTCATTGCCTAGATAAAATATCAGTATGGAGGTTTTCTTAGGTGAGGCAGAAAGAATCTAGGATGGACTAATTATCCCTTGATTCTGTACATGAACTTTTAATCAGAAAATAAGATGACAAGTGAAACCCTAACTAGAACTGACCTAAAAATGGGAAAAAAACAGCAATCTTCAAAAAGTAATGAATGCAGCTTTTTAGATCGCACGCCTACAAGGAGAATACCTCCAAATACTAGCATAGAGTTAATGGTAAAGGTGGCAGTTGTTATTACCTATAACATTAACAACAGGTCACCTGCTGTGGTTCAACCAGAATCAACAGCATAATGACATACAAGCACTTGGAAGAAGGCCGAGAGAAATACTATCCTATCAGTACAAAATGCCTAAAACAACATTACTTTTGCCAGATTTTCTGACTTATTAGCAGAAATATTTCATAAAGAAACTAAGCCCTGAGTTCTTTTATGTGAGAAGCAAGAGAGGACAAATGGAAATAGGAGGTGATGCCTAAACCTATAATTAGCCTTTTCAAAAGAACGTCATCAGGAAGTAAAGCAGAAAACCGGAAAGAAGAAAAAACATTAAGTTCACTTCAGTAGCCAAGAGGAAGAAGGAAATTGGTGGGGAGGGAATTTGGCTTCCACCAGCTGATGGGATTGTGTTTGTTGCTCTCAAGATGCTAGTATGTATCAATTTCCTTTAAATAGTAAAATACTGTGCACTGATACACTAAGGTAAAGTGAAATTTTAGGAGTAAGCTTCCAAGAGTTCTGGATATTTGCTGTTACGCTGCACAATTTTGTTTACTAGCAGAGCATCATCATTTTCAATACAATTGGATTCAAAGCATGGAAACGAAAAGATGATAAATATTATTCTAATTTGCCTTTTAAATTTTGTTTATTTCAGAATAAGGGGGAACAAATGTTTTGGCTACATGAATTGTTTTTATATAGTTGAGTAAAAGTTGTAAATGTGCCCACCATCCAGATAGCGTACATTGTATTCCTTACATGTATTTAACCCATTCCCTCCTCCTCCTTTCCACTTGCTTGATTTCCAATGACTTTTACTTCAATATGTTCATGATTAGTTCCAATTAAGAATTGAGTACATGTGGTGTTCGTTTTTCTATTTCTGCAATGCTTCACTTAGGATAATGGTCTCTAGTACCATCCAGGTTATTTCAAAAGGTATTAGTTCACCATTTTTTTATGGCTGAGTAATACTTCCTCATATACATATACAACATTTTATTAATCCTTAATGGATGGACACTTGGGTTGATTGTACATATTTGTTATTGTGAATTGTGTTCAAGTAAATATTGGCATGCGAATGTCTTTTGAATAAAATGTTTCCCCTCTCCCTGGTTTAAATATCCAGTAGTGGTATTTCTGAATCAAATGATAGGTCTACTTTTAATTGTCTGAGTTATCTTCATGCTACTTTTCATAGAGATTATACTAGTTTGCGGTCCCAACAACAGCATATAAGTATCCCTTTCTTTTCATAGTATACCGCCATGTGCCATTTGGGACTTTATGATGAAAGCCATTCTCACTTGAGTTGGATGACTCATCTCAAGTAAGATGGTTTTGGTTGGCATTTTCCTGATGACTAGGGATATTGATCATTTTTTCATATGTTTATAAGCCATTTGTCTATCTTCTTTTGAAAAGCTTCTGTTTATGTCTTTTTCCCACTTTTCTATAAGATTGTTTGAATTTTTTTCATGCTGATTTGTTTGAGCTCTTTGTAGATCCGGGTTATTAGCCCTTCATGGGATGGATAGCATGCAAATATTTTCTCCCATTCTGTAGGTTGTCTGTTCACTCTACTGATTGTTTCCTTGGCTATACAGAAGCTTTTTAATTTAATTGAAGATAGATAAGAGACTTAAAACTAAAGCATGAAACTATAAAAACTATAGAAGAAATGTTTGAAAAATTCTTGTAGATATTAGCCCAAGATAAAATTTACAAAGAAGACACCAAAAGCAATCACAGCAACTACAAAAACTAAAAAATAAAACTACTTTAAATTATATAATACTCAAAGTGCACTTCCAACCACACATATATTTTGGATGATCTGTGTTTGAACCACACTGTTGTAGACTAATTTTTAAAACTATTTTAAAATGGTAATTATTCTTATTTTGGATGTAGGATCTGGATTATTCTATCTCCTCTATTCTTATATGCCTTTTCCTAAAGATCACTGGCATTCCCTCTTTATTAGAATATATGTTTTCTTGCTCAAGTAGTATTTTTTATTTATGCAATAATCAAAATTTCATTTAACTCTGAAAAAAAGAAACAATGTAAATTCATTGTTACATTCCAATAATAAGAAGGACCCAGATGTTCCGGAGATCTCAAATTCTGAAATAATTCTCAAATACTACTGTTCCCAGAAAATAGGAGAATGAGGCTTTTTCGAATCTGCTTGGTCTTGATACTGTATATAATGGGGTTCATGAATGGAGGAAATAGAAAATAAACATAGCTCATTGTAATATGAACCACATGTGGGGTGTGTTTCCCAAACCTATGCATGAAAGTTAGGCCAAGCACAGTGATGTAAAACACCAGGACACAGCTAATATGGGAAACACAAGTGTTGAGAGCTTTAGCTTGCTCCTCTCCAGAGGCAATGCCCATAACTGTCTTAAGGATTAAGATATAAGAAAAGACAATGATCAGAGCATCAAGGAAGAAAGTCAAAGCAACCAGAATAACTGGGTATAAGCGATTAAATGTAATATCAGCACAGGCAAGTTTCATGACATCTTGGTGGAGGCAAAAGGCGTGGGAAAGAACGTGGGACCGACAGTATGGGAACCAATAGAGTGGCAGGATTGGGGGCACAATGGACAAAAAGCCCCTCAACAGTACCCCTAGTCCTACCTTCATCACTTGGGAATTGGTGAGAATGGAGTTGTACCTGAGAGGGGAGCGAATGGCAATAAATCGGTCATAGGCCATGGCAAGCAAGATACCAGATTCCACAATGGCCAGTGTGTGAATGAAATAGGACTGAGTGAAGCAGGCTCCCTGGGTGATCTCCCTCTGGTCCAGCAACAGGACACCCAGGACTGTGGGCATTGTAGTTAGTGTTACCCCAAGGTCTGTCCCTGCCAGCATAGCCAGGAAGTAGTACATGGGGTCATGAAGGATGCGGTCCTTCAATATGAGGATGAGAAGTGTTCCATTTCCAGATAGAATGGACAGATAGATGGCAAAGAAGGGAATGGCGATCCAGTGGTGAGTGCCCTCTGAGCCCAGGAAGCCAGTCAGCAGGAAAGGGGCTGCAGTGTCATTGGACCACATGGTGGGTTTTGCCAGTGCAGGAGGACGTTTTCAGAAGTGATGACCTCTAAATATGCAGTATTCTGTCTTTCTCTCACCATCTCCTTGTAGTGCATCATAACATAATTTTCACCAGAAAATAAACAAATGTTTATTTATCATCTCAGATTTAACTAATTATAAGCATGCATTTAGAGGCCTCTCCCTAGAATAACAAATAACAGTAAAATACAATCATGATAATGGCCATAACAATTTACTATAAAGGATGCAACTTTTACCTTTTAATGCACCTTATGTCTATGCTTCTAGCCTGGACTCCTAATTCCAAATAACTCTCCTCTCATTCTGTTTCATTCTCTTCACTCTTTGATTCTTCCTCATATTATGCCTATTATGGGCCCTTGCTCTATTTCTATCCACTTTGGGTAAGTTCAGATTTTCCTTCTTGAAACTAATGAGATAATAATCTTAAGAATCAATCACTGTGAAAATTATTTATCTATAGAAATAACTCAATCATTATGATAAATACTATTATCAATATTTCTATCTCATATAGACTGTAAATAAGGAGAGAGCTCATGCTAGTATCTGGAGAAAGCTTCACAATGAGTGCAGCCAGTAGAATATTTTAGAAAGATGTTATTGCTCAGTGGACTTGGGACCTTGAAAATTTGGAGTGCCATAAAAGATCTGAGGATAACCAACAGGACAGCCAAATTTTAAAGCAGGTGGGGGAAAAAGTTCACATTGGCAACTCCTACAAGAAGCTTTTTAGAGAATCCAGAGTCCTAGTGTGAAGGTTTCCACAGAAACTCAATCCCTATATGGAGTTATAGATTTTAAAAAATATATTTATCTGAAGGGTAATAGTAATACCAAAGATTGGAGAATGAGTGTTAAACTTTGTGAAGCTAGTGCTAGGATAGGGACTCCCATAAGGAAAAATATGATTGCTGTATTGCTGGTAGAGACCATTGTTTAGACCACCGTATATATTATGATGTCCATGTCCAGAAAAATTAATAATGACCTCATAGAGGACTTTTATTTATGACTTAGTTATAATTCCACCCCTGTTTGCCCGTAACAATAAATCTTGTAGCATGTTTATTACAATAATAAAGAGAATCACAAAGAAAACATTAGTTTTCTCCAAATTCAGTTGAATCTATATGTGTCCAGAATCTCTTAAAATATTACTTTCTATCAAGAACATTTCTACTGATAACTCTATAGTGGAATTCAGGAAAAGTGAAGTGATAATCTTGGCAAAACTTCTATTTCATAAAAACCTATAAAAACAATAATAAATATTATGTTTGAGAATCTGGTGACATCTCTAATAACAGGCAAAGTAGGGTCAGAGATGATTAGAGGAAAGGTAATGGCCTGTGGAAATAGCTGCTACTCCCAGGACACTGTCACTGACAAAAATGTCCATTTGGGCACTGAAATGGCAGAGATTCTATTGATGTGGACATTAAAAATATTGCTAACTAACTTGATACACTGAATTCTAAACTATGTGTGGTTCACCTTGCTGATACATATCTACCTTTACTGGAGAGGTATGTATCATCATAAGTCTGCTTAATCTTCCAACATTATCTTATAAGAGAATGGATAAAGGTCACAACATGTTGTATGAGATAGAGGGAAACCACCTATTTTGACTTAATGTGACCTAGAAACTGGACCAAAGAGAGGAAGCAGAATACTCAAAAGTCCCTTAATTATACTGGTGTTTTCAAAGCCTGAACTACAAGTTTTCAACTTAGGGTTGTTTGGGAAGGACTTAGGTACCAAAACTGTGTAGTAATTCTTTGGGACTAATTATTATAATTAATTAATATATTTGTATTTACCTAAGTAGACTAGTACCCTATTTATTACCTACAGTCCCTAGCATCAGCCGTTACCGGCCTTTAACTGTGGCAAATTTGATGGTACTGGAAACTGTCAACACACTGAAATACGCCAGGAGGAACAGTGCCCAGTTTAAGGAGTCTCCTAATATGTGGTCCATGACATTAGCAACAGTATAAACTTTGGTAGAATTTCTTACCACCATCACAGAAGGCTAGAGGCTCTGTAAGGGGATGCTGACATAACTAGAGTGCACCATTTTCTGATCTCATTCTGAGGATCTCTGGGCTGACCCTTTGAAAGCAGCTAACCCTGAGCTTCTAAGAGTAACATATTTAAATCACTGAGAGAGTCTTCAACTTGTGGTGCTGACTAAGCCTGAGTAACTATTTCGGAAACCGGTAATAAAAATATGAGAAGTTGAAAATGGAAGGTCAAGGAAGCACATTAAGACAATGTTTAAAAATAATGAAAAAAATAGTTTTAGATAATCTGCACACATACTGCACAATCAGTGTCTCCTGATTCCACTTTTTCATCTCGCCTGTTGGGCAAGAATCTGAATTTATTTTTGCAGTTTTTGGCTGGGCCTGGCTGGGTTTGAACCTGCCACCTCCGGCATATGTGGCCAGTGCCCTACTCTTTTGAGCCACAGGTGCTGCCCAAGAATCTGCATTTCTTTAGAAGAAATTAGGAAACATAAATGAACAAATATTTTAAATTCAAATAATGGTGAGAAGCCATTAGATGGAGAAAATGGCAGCAAAATGAAAAGTCTTAGCTTTTAAACAATTGTTCAAATCTTACTTTAAATAGAAGTTAAAATGGGAGAGTATTGTGGAAAGAAACTTTGGGAACCTAGGGAATAAAGTTCACATTGGAATGAAAAAAAATATCTCAAGGGAATAAAGAAGTAAGCAGAAATATAAGAGAATAGCAAAAGTGATCTATATTTATCCCAAAAATGTGAGAGAAAGTAATACACATGTAGTAGTTTAATGATGAAAAATATCAGAATTATCAAATAATGTAAAACTTTTAAAAATGTCCATTGTCTTTGGCAACTTAGTCTTTGGTGATCTTGATAATTTCAATAGAATGGCAGCAATAGATGTCTAAGGATCATGAAATGAAAAGTGATTGAAAACAAGAAAGTGAAGACAATATACTAAAGCACATCTTTAGGTAATGAAATTGAGCCCTAGGTTAAGTAATTTGCCTAAAAGCACATAGCAAACTTTGCAGAAAAGAATTCAAACTCAGCTTTATCTGCCCCAAATTTATGTCCTTCGCTAATATCCATTGAATATAAATGATGGTTCTCCTGTCCATCCAAGTTTGCTTTTTCATATGGTATTCCATTTCTTCAATTCCTATTTAATTGAAAAAAATTTTTTTTCTACTTTTTCACCTGTCAGTCAAGAATTGGTTACATAAGCCAAGTAGAAAAAAAACTCTTAAACATCCTTGATGTATTTGAATCCATGAACTTCCTTACCTGAACCACAGTTTTCTCTGTGATTTCTGAGCTTGATCTGGGGATCAGTAGTTAGCTGTAGCCTCAGTATTTATTCAGTTCCTGACGAGAGAGATGTTTTCTAAAGAAACAACTCCCTAGGGATCATTTTAGCTCATTGCCACATAGGCTATTTGAGAATACTATGCCAATTTTTTTTTTTTCTCCTCAACCTAAGAAAGATCTGAGCCATTGAAGTTGGTCCCCTAGTCCCCATTTCTTCTTTGCATAGAGAGTTCCTATGAGAAGCTGTATCTGTTACATCTAGTGAAGCATACTTATCTGAGTCACTTTCATGTGTTTTAGGGGTCATGGGGTAGAAAGTTCAGCCACTTTTGCTTTCTAAATGTTGGGATTTGAAGAACATCCCCCCTTTGCAAACTATTATGCATTATATTGTCAAAGACTGTAGTATTTTTAAGAATAATGATCTAATCCAACTCTGTAAAATCTTGAGCCACCACCTAACTATTTTATCTCAGCGATTGCCCATCCAACATTGTTCTTTAGTGTTTTCTCTATGGATTGAAAACACTACCTTATGTGGATATATGTACATACACATACACACACACACTCAAACACACACACATATATATTGCATCCTACTATTTACTTTAAATATATGTGTATATTGTATTAACTATAAATATACGTATATATGTGTGTATGCATGTACATACATACATATATAGAGAAAGCTACTTCCTGAAATATCTAATATCTACTTCTTTTGTATTTTTATATTTATTACAAATTAATATGAGAGAACAAATTCTCAGGTTACATTGCTCTCACGTCCAAGGTAAAGTTCATGTTATAGTTGAGCCTTAAACGTAAGGAGTGTATTGATGACCCTCACTTTGTGCACATTAGGTGAGGTTCCACCAATTGCCCTTCCTCCTCCTACCAATCACCTTCCCTCTGCCTTCTCCATTCTTCTGCCTTTCCCCTCCCCCTGCTAGACTATATTTGTGTTTTATGGTTCATGTGGGAATGTAAATGTTTATATATTGGTTTCATACCAGTATTGGATGCATTGGATTTTTTTTTCCATTCTTGAGATACTTTGCTAAGAAGAATGTGTTTCAACTCCATCCAGGTAAACATCAAAAATGTAAAGTTTCCATCTTTTCTCATGGCTGAGTAGTATTCCATGGTATAAATATGCCAGAGTTTGCTAATCCATTCATGGGTTGATGAGTATTTGGGTTGTTTTCATGACCTGGCAATTATGAACTGAGCTTCAATAAACATTCTGATGCAAATGTCTTTGTGGTAAAATGACTTTTGTTCTTCTGGATACATACCTAATAATGGAATTGTGGGATCAAATGGTAGATAAACTTTTAGTTCTTTGAGAAGTCTCCATAAGATCTCTTCTTATCTTCAGAATAAAACTAATCAAGTATAAGCAATCACATTTTTATACTCTCTCTAGATGTGTAGAGGCATAGGTATTAATACACCTAAGACTTCTTTCTTGACAGCTGAGTAACTTCTAGTCTTTTAACTGTTTATGACATAATAATAATTTCTAATCGTGAATCATTTCCAATGACATTTCTCCAAATTGAACATGATGATTCAGGTGCTATCATATTAGTTCTACTCTGAAAATTTCCTTCATTAG